CTATTCATTCCTATCACACGGATCTGCCTGTTGGGAGAAGAAGTAGGGAAGGTTTTCTTGAAGTGCACCTACCCTTCTGGCGGGAAGGCTTGCTGGGATTGCCGGGCAGGTTTCTTCTGGAGGGTCCCATCTCTCTGGAGTAGCTGCAGTGGAGTTGAGGGCAGGTTCTCCGGTGAGGTAGGAATGTGCAGGAACTCCGCCCTCTGGGCACAGTCACACAAGCCCAGCAAAACAGCCACAGCCAGCCCTAAAACCTCTAATGATCTTCACCTTCACCTCTTTCTAACCCAGTTCTCCACCACTTTTTGACCCATTTACCCAGGCACCTTCACCACGGGGCGGGGTGTATTCAAAACAAGAACATTTCAGTGCGCAAAACTGCCGAGAAACTACTACAGACACTAGTGCATGGATAGACCCCTCTGTAGGGTTGTGTGTGTCTACATGTATGTATACATATTTATTGCCATTCGTTGAATTTGTAGTCGTGTAATATGTATGCGCATATACTTCCTTTCTCGGGAGGGTGTATTATTCGCGACTATGCAATTAAGTACATAGCAGTGACTATCTACAGGCAGACCTTTTTTTTTTTTCCGTCCTAAGGGAAAATATGAATAATTAAAGAATATAATCACTAATAAAACAGTGAGTCTTGCTCAGTGTTCTTTCTTAAGCAGAACTCTGATGCGGTTCAGTCAAAACGTCACCGGAGTTCAGTGGGAGTTTTGCTTGAGTGAACAGTGAATACGTGGTGATTGAGACCTCATATGAACACAAGTGGTGAGGGGGTGTGTACCTGAATCATAATTTCTGACATAAATCTTAATAATCATCAGAAGAAGTTATAAAGAGCAAAATGACGTCCTGGTTAAACTATTTTTTCAAGCACCGGATTAAAAAATTATCACTCCCCCAAACAGTAGTTTTGTGCCGTTTAAGGCAAAATATATTATTGTTCACTTTCTTTTGAACCCTTTCGTAAGAATACATTCCACATAACGGATGCTATTTTACTGAAACAAAAGAAAAATATTTCAAATATGTCAAAAAATGGTTGGCTAAATATCCCATTGTGGATTCGAGTTACAGTTTATTATCTCTCAAACATGTTTGCAAAGGCAATCTTAAAATCGTAATTGGAGGTTTCTTGATGAGCAGATTTCTTTTCCTACCATCTACGCGAGCAAAGTTAATCACCTCAAACATCAACTAGGAAAATAACAATAGCTCCTTAATTCCATAAAGACCACCCGTTCCCCATAAACACTCTAAATTAGGAAACGCTAAAGAAGCGACGCTAAGACACCGCAACATTCTGGAAATGTGCATATTTAAAAAAAAAAAAAATCCTAAAAGCTTAGCTTGAGGATTTGACATGTAAAACACCATGGAAACAAATATCAGATAACAGAATTTATGGCCTGCTTCAAAAAAAAAAAAAAAAAAGAAAAAAATACCCGACCAAACGCACCACCTCACATTCAGTACCGAACGATCCTGTGCAAAGATTAGCCTGAAAGACATCCTCAGCGAACAAAAGGCTTTCTCTGGCCGGGGAGCAGGCAAAGGTAAAGGCATATTTGGGGCCTTGGCAGTCCTGCTACAATCCATGACAACTTTAGCTTCATGACAACTTTAGCTTTTTTTTTTTTTTTTTTTTTTTTTTTTTTTTTTTTTTTTTTTTTTTTTTTTTTTTTTTTTCCTTTACAAAGACAGTCTCATTGCTGGTGATATGCCTATGGAAACGTGAATAAATTACCAGTTCAACAACCAACCCTTCCCCCAGTGTAAGAGAACGAGGGAAAAGCCTGTGGCACCTGAACTGCTTAGGCAGCACTTTGCTACACTAAACCTAAAGGCGAGCATTGAGAGCGAGTGCTTGCTTAAACCAAGTCCGGAGAGACATACGTCAGGGCTACCCTTTTCAGGAATTATTATGCATCACGCTTATCTAATTAATGCTTATTAGCCAACCCCAAACTGACATGGCGAGATTGTGCTTTCCTCCAACCTGACTTGTCTTTTTCCTCCTCCACTGTCAGCGGATTTTTCTACATTGCGAACTAGATAATACTTTAAGTATGTGCTATTGGATTTCCTACAGTATACAAGCAATTGCAAGTGGTAAATAATAAATAATTTCCTTTGTCAGCTGCAGCAGATGCCATTCTTCTCATTTGCTTAGGCACAAGTTCACAGAATGGGGTCTCGAGGCTTCAAGAGTTTAAATCACACCTATTTCATTTTATTATTTCCGATAGGTTTGCTGCAAAGGAGTTTTGTTTCTTAGTTTTTTGCGATCGCTTCTTTTAATGACAATAGAGTGAAGAATATGGGGGAGGGTAGGCGCTTCCAAGTGGTGGTATCATCTCCTCATTCCCAAACAAAGCAACCTTTTTCTCATAGTGATGATTAATTTTGAATTGCAGAAGTGAGAGTGAAAGCCAAGAATATCAGAGATTTCTCTCCTTCTCCCCCACATAGTGCAGAGCTGGGTGTCCCATCTCTCATCCGTAACCTTTCACTCCTCTCTCTTTCCTGCAGATCTGCTTGCATCTGTTTATTTATTGCTTATTTTCGGAAGATTTCCCCTCCCTCCCCTTATTCTTTCAGCACGACAAATATTCTGTTTGCAAGAATTCAGATTTGCTATCGCTTCTTTATTCACCCCCCGGCATTTTTTCCCCTCTTTTTCTTCTTCTTCTTCTTTTCTGTCTTTCTAAGATCAGTTCTTTAAAGAGTTTGCGATAACATCTCCGAGCTGGAGATTATTTTTCATTGGGCCTATTGTGAGCAGTCGCCGGCTTATTGCACTGCTGCGGAGCCCAGTTTAGACTACACAGAGGTAACAAATGAACAACTTGTCCTCTGCGGACTCACCGCGGGATCCAATTAGTTCCTAAACCTTTTGCACAAGTTTTCTAATTATTTTCAAGAGTTGCGGCTTTTATAGGCTTTCCTAAACTCATCAAGAAACCAATTCTTTTTAGGATTAAATGCTTCTTAAAATTAGTCGTAGCGTTGCCCCCTTAAAACTAATGGATTGATTCTCCGGGCAACGGCGCACACTCATGGAGGCTAGCGTGGGTTGGTGGGCTTCAGCAAGCACCACCATCGGCAGACGGACAGCGAAAAAGAAGTCCGTTTCAAAACTTTAAATTGAAGTGCATCCACACAGGTTTGGGTTTTTTTTTCCCTAAAACGTTTCAACATCGGTATGCAAGCCAGGGCGTCACGTGACCCCTCCAGCCCTCTGCCTCACTGCAATGTCCTGCAGCTTCACCTCGCCCCTGCTCGGCTCCTTCCCCGTCCGGAGGGCGAAGGGGGCAGAGGAGAGAGGTTCTAGCTGAAAAAACTATCGCTACTTTTACAGTCTCTAAAGCCAAAGTGTTTGCAGCATTAAAAGTATAGAAATACATCTCGTATAGATACTTCCGGAGCAGTGTTCCTTTAAGACAAGGGTTACATTTTATACACATACGTATCATAGCTTGCTAAATTTGATCAAGTGATTATATGGAAGCTAATATGTATATGTATATACACACACATACACATCCGTAGTTAATAGATCTCCAGTTATCAGAGTCGAAATTAATACCTTTCAGAAGAAGAATTCTTTGAATGCATTTCAGAGATTGCAAGAACAACACGCATCTATGCAATAATGCGCCTTGGTTTTTTCCTAATGTGTGCATATATACTTAAATGTATATGTGTGTATATATATGTATATACGTACGCAATTCTAAGCATCTTCAACGTAAGACAGTTTTTAGTAAGACACCCTACCTCGTACTAACAATTTTTAAGCAGACTTGATAAGAGTTCTGCCCCAAAACGGACATCACAACGGTGGCCGTGGCGTTTAATTAAACACCCTGATCCTTTGCATTTGAAAATACTGCTGTTAAAGACAGTATGATAGGGAGGGGGGGGCGGAGGGGGGAGAAAGGAGCATGTGAAAAATGGTGGACTGCTGTAATAAGCAGCGCTCTGATCTCCCTGTAACTTTAAAGCCTCTGGCATATTAATTTTAGTTAATAAAAGAGACAAAAAAACTATCAAGTATATATGAATTTAGCCTATTTTTTTTATTTCTGTGTGTTCATAGTAAACATTTTTGTAAGTGACAAACACGGGCATATGACCACAGTATCACAATCAAGAAATTTTAAGACGACATTAACAATCACTCAAATTTATGCGGCATTTGCGCAACACAGGTTACATATTTGCAAGGTTTACCTATAAGTACAATAGGTATTAACATTTCACTACATTTAGAAAAAAAATAAAGGTGACCTGTTAGTGACCACATACATCAAAATATACACAACACAAACTGAAGGCAATCATTAATTTTGTCCCCTTCTGATTCATTTGAACGGGCAGTGCTGCAAACTGAAATAATGTTGCTGTTTTTTAAATTACTCCGTACACTGAGTGCATTTTCTAAAACCCAATCTTTGGTCTAAAAGTAAACAAACAAACAAACAAACAAAAAAAAAAGGAACCCAAAAAAAAGCAGTTCAGTAAAGAAAATAATAAATGGCCAAAATGTAGTTCCTGGGCATCTTTCAGCATTAATTCTGCTTAAATACAAATTACGTTTTAGGTTTTTTATAGTTTTCATAAATTTAGTGGTGTTTTTTTTTTTTTTCTTTCGAGGTCTGCTCCCACC